TTATTCTTCCAGATGAATTTCTTATTATTTTTTCTTGCTCTGTAAAATAATTCTTGGTAGCTTGATTGGTGTGGCACTGAATAAGTAAATTAATTTAGGTAGAATTGTCATTTTTATTATATTACCTCGGCCTACCCTTGAACAGTTGATATTTTTCCAATTGTTTAGATCTGAAATTTGTTACTTCTTCTTTCGGTTTAGATTATTTATTTTCCAATTAATTTTATTTATTTTTTTTTAAGGCAGTTGGGGTTAAGTGACTTGCCCAATGTCACACAGCTAGTAAGTGTCAAGTGTTTGGTCTCAGGCCGGATTTGAACTCAGGTCCTCCTGACTTCAGGGTCAATGTTCTATCCACCGCACCACCTAGCTGCCGCCTCCAATCAATTTTAAACTTATGTTTCCACAGCCCTTTATTGATTTTTTTTGGCATTATAATGCTCTGAAAAGAATGCATTTAGTATTTTTCCTTTTCTGCTTTTGGTTGTGAGGTTTTTATGTTCTAACAAATAATCAGTTTTTGTGTAGGTGCCATGTACTGCTAAAAAAAAAAAAGATATATTCCAGTTTCTAAAATTTTATTCATCTCTTAACTTTTTGTCAATTTTTTTGGGTTAGAATTATCTATTTCAAGGGGCAGCTATGTGGCACAGTGGATAAAGCTCCAGCCTTGGAGTCAGGAGGACCTGAGTTCAAATGTGACCTCAGACACTTGACACTTACTAGCTGTGTGACCCTGGGCAAGTCACTTAAACCCATTGCCCAGCCAAAAAGAAAAAAAAAAGAATTATCTGGTTCTGAGAGGGGAAAGTTAAAATCTACCACTAGTATAGTTTTTTGTTTTTGTTTTTGACTAGGCACACAGTTAGTAAGTGTGACGTATTTGAAGTCTAATTTGAACTCAGGTCCTCCTGACTCTAGGACCAGTACTCTATCCACTGTACCACCTAGCTGCCCCTGCTAGTATCGTTTTATTGTATATTTTTTCTGGTCATTCATTTAACTTTCACTTTCAACATTTGGGTACTGTACCAGTTAGTGCATATATGTTTAGTATTGATATTAATTCACTGTCTGTATTACCTTTTAGCAAATTATAGTTTTCCTGCTTGTCTCTTTTAATTAGACCTATATTTGCTTTTGCTTTGTCTGAGATCATGATTACTACCCGTGCTTTTTTTATATCAGTTAAAGCATAATAGATTCTGCCCCAGCCCCTTACCTTTACCCTGTGTATGTCTCTCAACTTAAGGTATGTTTATTGTAAACAACATATTGTCAGGTTCTAGTTTTTAATCCACATGGCCATCTGCCTGTCTTTTATGAGTGAGTTCATCCTATTCATATTCACAGTTATGATTACTTTATATTTCTTTCCACAGTTATAATTATTGTATATTTCCCTCTATCCTATTTTTCCCCTCGTTTGTTCTTCCCTCTTTTTCCTTTCACCTCAAAAGTCTGTTTTGCTTCTGATCACTGCCTCTTCTATTCTGATTTCCCTTGTATCACCATCTCCTCTTAGGCCTCATCCCTCCTACTTCCCTGTAGGGTAAGAGAGATTGCTATACTTATCTGCATCTCTATCTTATTCCCTCTTTGAGCCTATCAGATGCAGTTCAAGCATTACCTGCCAATCACCCTTCTTCCCTGCCACTGTAAAAGTTATCCTTTTGTGTCCCTTTTATAAGATAATTCACCCCATTATACTGCCCCCTTCTACCGTCTCCCAGTGTGTATCCCTCTTTCTTACTGTTTATAATTTTATTTTTTAAAAAATCATCCCATCATACTTAACTCACACCTGTTCCCCCTGTCTATGTATACTCCTTTTTCTGTCATAATAATGATAAAGTCCTTAAGAGTTACAAGTATCATCTTATACAGTTTAGCCTTATTGAATCTCTTAAGATTTTTCTTTCCTGTTTGCCTTTTTATGTTTTTCTTGAGTCTTATATTTGAAAGGAAAATTTTCTATTCAGCTCTGGTCTTTTCATCAGGAATGCTTGAAAGTCCTTTATTTCATTGAATATCTATTTTTCCCCTAAAAGATTTTACTCAGTTTTGCTGGGTAGGTGATTCTTGGTTGTAATCCCCACCCCTTTGCCTTCCAAAATATCACATTCCAGGCCCCCCAATCCTTTAATATAGAAATTACCAAATCTTGTGTTATCCTGACTGTGGTTCCGTGTTACTTGTATTATTTCTTTCTGTCTGCTTGCAGTATTTTCTCCTTCACCTGGGAGCTCTGAAATTTGGCTATAATATTCCTGGGAGTTTTCATTTTGGGATCTCTTAGATTCTTTCCATTTCTATTTTACCCTCTGGTTCCAGGATATCAGGGCAGTTTTCCTTGATAATTTCTTGAAAGATTATGTCTACCTTTTTTGGGGGGGGGGGGGATCATGTCTTTCAGGTAGTCCAGTAATTCTTAAATTATCTCTCTTGTATTTATTTTCCAGGTTCATTGTTTTTCCAATGAGATATTTCACATTTTCGTCTATTTTTACATTCTTTTGACTTTGTTTTATTGTTTCTTGAAGTTTCATAAAGTCATTAGCTTTTATTTGGCCAATTCTAATTTTTAAGGAATAATTTTCTTCATTGAGCTTTTGTACCTTCTTTTCCATTTGGTCAATTTTACTTTTTATGAAGGAGTTATTTTCTTCAATGAACTTTTGTACCTATTTTTCCATTTGGCCAATTCTGCTCTTTGAGTAGTTCTTCAGTGGATTTTGGTTACTCTTTCTTCCATCTGGCTATTTTTTTTTTGTTAAGTTTTTTTTTTAAGTATTTTTTTTTGTGCCTGCTTTAGCAAGCTGTTGACTGTTTTCTTGATTTTCTTGCATTGCTGACATTTCTTTTCCCAGTTTTTTCTCTACCTCTTGATTTTTGAAACCCTTTTGAGCTGTCCCAGGAATTCTGTTTTTTGGTCTGTGACCAATTCACATTTTTCTTTGAGGCTTTGGCTGTAGCAGTTTTGACTTTGTTGTTTTCTGTGTTTGTATCTTGATTTTCTCTGCCACCATAGTAACTTTCTAGGGTCAAGTTCTTTTGTTGTTTTCTCATTTTCCCAGCCTATTTCTTGACTCTCAACTTTTTGTTAAAGTTCAGCTTTCATCTGGGGTAGAAGGAGCGCTGTCCCAAACTTTAGACCTTTCTTGCTGTTTTTTTCAGAGTTAGCTCTAGGGGTCTCTAGGTTTTCAGTTTTTCTGCATATACCATATACCTACTGTGTAACTATAGGAGAGGTGTGGTCACTGCCCTCTTGGCCTGTCCTTTGTTCTGAGTGACAACAACCACTCTTCTCTGCCCTGAATCTGTGATCAGGGTCCCTGCCCCACTGTGGCTGAAAGCAGTAGTGTGCTAATGCTTCTAGAACTGCGACCTAGAACTGAGTACGGGCAATGTGACAGGGTCCTGTACTTAGTGCCAGCAAGGAGTTCCTTGCAATCTCCTTCTGATGAGTTGTCTGCCCCCCCCCCCCCCCCTTATGGTCTGTGCTTTGAGAGTGACTGAAGTTGCTGTTGCCATTGAAGAACTACCTCCTCAGACTGCTGCTGGCAGCTCCATCACCCCAACCCTCAGCTCTAGCGTGGCTAGACTCCAGGTCCAGTTATCACCCTGCTGAGACAGACCTCCTGAGTTCTCCTGCTCTGGAATATTGTTTCACCCCATCCCTTGTTGGTTCTGCTACTCTAGAATTTGAATTGAGAAGTTATTTTAAAGTTGTTTGGTGGGGAATTTGGGAAAGCTCAGGTGACTCCTTTTTACTGCACCATCTTGACTTTGTCAACATATTGTTTTTACCTCAAGAAAATCATCTCCTCAAAAAAAGAAGTTGAGTTTTATCCTAAAAGAAAAATCTTAAGAGTAGCATTTATATGACTGAGTTTGTAGAACCAAAGGAAATGGCAATAAGTTCCTATTTTATCCATTTTTTAACAATAACTAGATTTGTTGCCTATAGCTGTATACCAATAATAGAAGATTTTGAGGTTGATCAGAATAAAACAGAAACTTGCCAAGATGGATCATAACTAACAGCCAGATTTGGGGGTTGGGTGGTATTTTTCTAATAAGATTTATTTGGTTATCTAGGTTTTTTAGAGAATAATTACAGTTACTGGAGAACTCATACTAAATGTTTCAACATTTTGTGATTCAGCAAATAGGTTAAAAGCTCCTTGAATCAAATTTACCAATGATTCAACAGTGACTAGAAGCAACATGTCAGGGAGTTTTAGTGGACTGGAAGATCAATATGGATATGATATAGCAGAAAAAGTAAGCTAATTGGATATTAGTTTGCATTAATAGAAGCAATAGTGTTAACTATGAGGGAAGTGATAGTTTTCATAGCAGTGTGGTTGGTATATTGAACAAAATGCTGCTGGGGGGAATCAAAGAGACCTAGTATTATACAGGCTTTTATACTTAATAGCAACATGATCCCAGTCAATCAACCGGAGAAGTTATATATACAAATCTCATAGGATAATTTAAGGATCAAGTGGAGAATAAAGATAAAGTGCTTTTGTAAACCAGAGAGAGAGAGAGAGAGAGAGAGAGAGAAAAAGAGAATGTGTGCATGTGTGTGTGTATACATGTACAAAAATGTGTGTGTGTATATATCTATATCTATATATATATAAAATTTTAAATAAAAAAAGGGTAGTGGTTACTATTGTTATTATTCTACCACAAATAGACTCTAGAACAGGGGTGGGGAACCCATGACCTTGAGGCCACATGTGGCCCTCTAGGTCCTCAAGTGCGGTCCTTTGACCGAATCCAAGTTTGGATTGCCCTGGGCAACTCTCTAAGGCTCCCTTATAGAGAAGCTGCGCATCTGTATTGGTGGAGGTATTTTCCATAGGTGGATTTCCCCTCTATGAGTTAAATCATAGGTTTGAATGAAAACAAACTCTCAGCTTAAGCTATTTGATGCAGTGTTAGAAGCAGCTATTTCACTGTTAACTTTTTTTTCTTTGTTTCAGGTTTCCCCTCAAAAAACCTATAAGGTAAGTTGTTCAGAACGTACAGTAAACTTTTAAAAGTTTCTCAGTTATTACATTATAAGAATAGGCATACATTTTGAATTTAGTTTAAAACATCACAGATACATTTTTATTTAATTATATTAGGATTGAAAAAGTGAATTACAGAAAAGGATTCAGTTTAAAACCTTCAAAATAACAGAATTTTTTACAGTTGTAAAAGGTACCTAATGTTTCTTATTTTATTTTTACAAAATAGCATTGCTTTAATAATGTATTTTCAGTCGATTTTAAAATATTGGTCATTGTCTGGCTAAACTGGTGTTAAATGGCATTTAGGGTTGTAACCTATGAACATACTTCATTTTGCAGTCTTTTTAACTATTTTAAGAAATGAACTAGCTTTGAGGTTGTAGTGGAAGTATATTGCCAGTTCAGATTTTTTTTTTAGCATGTGTGTGACTGCAGTTAGCCTTATTTTAAGAAATATATTCTGGCATGCTGGTATATCATAAGAATCTTAATTAACTTTTAAATGTTTAAGGAATTTTAACTTTACACAAAATTTAAATTTAAATTCACATATGCAATATATACACGTAAAATGCATTCAGGGATAAAAGAACTAGCTCCCTTTTCTTCAGTACTTTTACTTCAGCAGTTATTCTTTCATGTTGACATAATTATCTAAAAAAAATTTACTTAACACTTCACAGACAATTAATAGCTTTGTTTTTTCCATCTAAACTAAACTGTAAAGAGCGATTTAGCACCAATATTGGTTCTTCTAATGACTGAATAGCTGTTATATATTATTGCTGAAGTGTAATAAACTGGCTTGATCAGGATTTTGACCTGACTATGCTTTAAAATAAATAATAGTTCTAGTTCTATCAAGACTTAATAGTGGTGAGCTGAGGTTTCTTTGGCCAGAGCTTTAGACAAGCTTTTATTATTTTAGAAAGCTGTTATTACCTTGGCTCCCTGACTGGCTATCTGTCCTTTAGAATAGGTGGAGAAGATTGCAGTGAAGACAGTGAATTATGTGTAGGTTTTATAACCCCAGAGTTTCGCATAGTTAGAGGCATAGAGTAGGTGCTTAATTGATGCTTGTTGAATAGAGAAATTAATATTAATTCATATGTAGAAAGAACTCTTACAATTTATAAAGTGCTTTCCAGATAATACTACTGCATAGACATTGCAAATGTTTTTATCCCCATTTTGCAATTGAAGAAACTGAGGGTTAGGGAAGCTAAGTGATTTGCCCATAGTAACATAGCTATTATCAGAGATGGAACTTGAACCTAGGTCTTTCACTCTAAAATCCAGTGGTTTTTTTTTTGTTTGTTTGTTTTTGTGTTTTAAATTTGTGCAAGCTGCCTCTCCTAAATACCTGGGTTCCTATCTGTCAAGTCAAAATAATAATGGTCAATCAATCTTTAATGAACCTACTAAGATTTTTGAACAAACCTTTGTTTAGATACAAATGTGAAGTGTAAAGAGTAAATAGTATTTTAAATGTTTACAAATACATCTGCTGAAGAAACATACTATATTGCATGTTGGAGAGACTAAAGCTTTAAGCCACTTGAGAATAGAGTAAGAAAAAAATTAGGACAAATTAGATATAGGGCAAAAGAGAATTGCTTTCTTCTTCCTTGTTCCTATTTTAAAACTCACCTTTTTGGTTTTCACAAAATTTCTATCTTAGCGATTTGGAAATTGACATACGGTTATTTTATTTGTTTGTATATCTATCCATCTAACCATTTATTTGTATATTTACTTACCTTCTTATTTATTATCTATTTTAAATTTAGGCATGCAAGTATTTTGACCCGAGAGTCTCCAACAGACAAGAAGCAGAAAGTTGAACGCAGTACATCACATGACTTTGACCCCACAGGTAACAACCATCTATATTCATTGTAAGAGTAGATAGTGTGGAAGAGTTTGACATAAAGCTGCTAAATAACCTGTGGCATTCAGCAAGTTACTAGACATATAATATATTTTTTTTTTTTTTTTTTGCTTTTTTTGGTGAGGCAATCGGGGTTAAGTGACTTGCCCAGGGTCACACAGCTAGTAAGTGTCATGTGTCTGAGGCTGGATTTGAACTCAGGTCCCCCCGACTCCAAGGCTGGAGGTCTATCCACTGTGTCACCTAGTTGCCCCTTGTAATAGGACTTTTAGTAGTGGAATAAAACCTTTGTTTTGGAAGAATACAGATAGTCCTTGCTTCTCACCCCAGTCCATTTATATAGAATTTACAAACCATTTTTTCCCACAGTAACAATATAAATAGGTGTTGTTCTTGTCATGGACTCAGCATAAAAAAAAACATATATGTGACCAAAATATGTCATAAGTGCAAAGATATAACAATTGAAAATTTATGTAATTTTTTAAAATATGGTAATGTATTAATTAACATTTGAGGTGAAATCAAAATAAATAATTGATCTTATTTTATAAAAAGCAAATGAATAGTGAGTACTTTTTCTTGCTTCAGTTGTGGTAAGTTTAAAAAGTGTCCTTTGTGCAGAAATATCCAACACTAAATCTTAGTAATTTTGGGTCCCTTCCTGAAACATTCATTATGCATGTGGATTTTTGAGTATGAATGCATTTTGATTTTATGTAAATAGTGTGACTTGAATCTCTTTTGTTTCTGGGCATTCAGAATCAGCTTTCCAAAGGTAAACTTAGTGTTTAATACACACATATACCTACCCATACACACACCTTTAGAGCTTCCTTTCTTTCTTTTTAACCCCCACTACACTTAAATCCTTTTAAGCATTTAGTTTATAAAACTGTATGAATGATTCTTTTATGACCTTTGAGGTGTGTGTGTGTGTGTGTGTGTGTATGTATGCACGCGTGCGTATGCATGTACGTGTGCCCCCATAGTATAATGTTCATTTGTGTATCTCTCTATGGGATTATGTGATAAGATGAGGCAAAGAAAGAATGTTGCTTTTCCAGGACATGTGAATAGAAATCTGTTTTTAAAGGAAAGTGAACACAGTTTATGTTTCAATGTAAGATGGCTCACAGCAACTTTTTTTTTTTAAACAAGCTACTCTTTCCATTTTGGGGAAAAAAGAATTTCAAGTGAACTTGTAGCTAACAAATTCTTATCCAGCAAAGGAATGCTAATCTATGAGAAGTTAATAACAATGTCTATAATTCCCTACCTTCTTGTATAGGAAAAGTAGAAATATTTGTTGTCGTCAACTTAGGAGATTTGGATGGAAGGAGTGTGTCATGTGTTACCAAGCTGGATGTCAGTTTGAGAGAGAACATTCTCTGTGTTTCTCATGTAATTTTGAGATCATGGGACCCAGTGGCTTTTCTTACAGTAACAGTAGTTAACTGTTTAGGGGCCACAAGTCTCTACCTCACTCCAAAAAAAATACTGATGGTTTTGTTACATTGCTGTGTATTGCTGATCTATTGAAATCTTCTCTCCAAAGACAGATGTAGGGAAGTTGTGTTTAGTGGTCTATGTTAAGGATATTATCCTGTTTAGTATCTTTGTCTGTATAGACATTAGAACTCTATTCTAAAGAATTTCTTTATCCATGTGTCATTGTATGAATAAATGTGTTTTTAATTGTCTTTTCTATGATAAATCTTTAGAATGTGTTGTTCATGGCTTGTTCTAAGTGCTGTCACTTGTGGTGTTTACACCTTGTTTGTGTTTTGCACGATTTAACCTGATCATGATTCATTCTTTTTTCATAAAGTTTTTTCTCCTTACGTCAGTCTCCATATTTTCTATATCTTTCTCCTTTTCTCCCGCTTTTGTGCAGACAGCTCCTCCAAGAAGACAAAGTCTAGTTCAGAGGAGAGTAGATCGGAGACATATGGTAAGCTAATGCAGCACCTTCAGCCTTGTACTTTTCAGCCTGATTTGTGCCATTTTGTTTCTGTGCACTTGTAGCCTCTTTCTTTTGTCTGCCCTGCATGGCAAGGGAGAGGGAGTCTGGGGCTTTCATGTGGCAGTGATTTGGCAGCTTGTAGTTACTAGAGACTAACAGCCTAGGTGCAGGGTTAGGCTATGTACTCCACATTCTCTTGTCTTCTTGTTTTTGAAAGAAAGTGCAATGTATCCATTTTGTTGCTTCCCACATGATGTGGATAGGTTTTGTCTCCTTTTTATGTCCCATCACTGTGTTAAACAGTTTTAGTTTGGAACAGTAGTTCCTAAGTGGTTAAGATTTCATATTGTACCAGCTACTTTTTTCTTCTCATGATCTTGAAAAGCTGTTCCTATAGAATGACAGAGGCTCCCTTAGCAGCCTTTTTCATTTTTTTGGCTCAAACAATTTGTGGTTACATTTCATAAAATTCTCTAAAAATTTTCCCTCAATTTGAAATTTTCAAAACAGTACCTACTCTTTAAAGATACTAATCTTTAGAAAAATTTAGTTTAGTCCAGATGGATCTGCTACCTTGGTGGGTGGTTGATTTACCCAATTTCCTTTAGGCTGTGTCCTGTCTTCCAAAGATAGTCCAAAGTATGTAACATGCAAATTTGAAAGCTGAGATAAGTATCTTCCTATGTCCTAATATCTGACTCTTCTGTGTTTCAGGAATTGTAGATATCTGAAAGACAAATTCAGATTAATTTTATTTAAATAGTTTGGAAACAGGGCTGGTAAATTATCACTTTTCAGGAAGATTTTGCACTTTTTCTAATGTTAGGAGATTGATGGATAGTAAAAAGAGAAATCTGGCCTTTTCTAGTTGAAAATGAAAACCTGTCATGTGGCAGCTTCCCCAGTTATTTTCTGAAATGCTATATACTATTTTCTGAAATAATATATGCAAGTGGGAAAATCAAGGAAATTTTGTATATATTTATAGTATCAATCATATGCATATAGATGTATGGGCATTTTACAGTTTTTATCTACTGTCAAGTATTAAACTGCTTCATTACTTGTAATACCTCCCTCATAATTTAGTTAAAATCATGAAGGAATTCATATTAGTAAAATATTAATACCAGGGCCCTTTGTCTGGTTTTACTTGTGTAAAAGAGCCCTATGCCTACTCCTTTTTAAGAGTAGACTTTTTACACATTGTTCAGTAGAAAATGTGTACCATGTCTGGGGGATTATGGTTTTTCCTCTTACTGTATAGTGTCCTGGTTTTTTATAGGCATGAGATGACTTACTAACTTAACCTGACTTTTCACTCCAACATTTTGCCTCCACAAATAATTCCTTTTAGTTTGTTCTCTGCTTAGAAGCTCAGAATTCAGTTTCTTTACAGAATTTCTTTATAATCTTAATCATTTCCTTCCAGTGGCTTTGACTTTCCATTTGTCTAGGTCTTTGCCATGTGAAGAGATACTTGCTATTTGCTTTGGACAGGGCTTAACAATTTAAGATCTATGACAAGAAATATTTTGCTAATATTTTTCTTACCAGTGATGAAGATTTTAACACTGGTTCAGACATGCCATTGGCTGTGTAGTAATAGAAACATCTTAAGTGGTCATGGGGAACTAAGGTGTGGCTTTTTCTGCGTGTTTGTGTTCTTGAAATAAAGCATTATGAGTGAGCCCAGATTATCAGAAGCACTTAGTGGAAGAACTGAAGGGAGAGGCAGAGTTCCTGGATCATGTCCTCGGTCTAGATGTTACAGAGCTAGTTTACTTTGGATAATAGAAATGTTTCAAAGCTACCAAAGTTTATTATTTAAATGAGAAAGCTATTTCCTGGCCAGTTGAAAACAGTTTGCCAGATAGTTGCATTAAAAAGGATCTCTTAGAAAGTCATCCATTCAACAAGTGCACCCCTACTCCTGCACTACTAGTTCTATGCTAGGCATTGAGGATACAGGCAAAGTAACAATAGCTCTTGTTCCCAAGGAGCTTACTTTCTAGAGGAAAACCAACATGTAAGTATAGTGATTGCAAGATTATGCAAAGTCAGTACAAGATAATTTTAGGGGTATTAGGAAAGGCCTTGTGTAGGAGATGTGGTACTTGAGTGAAGCTTTTAAAGGAATCTAGAGATTCTAAAAGGTGGAAATGAAAAGGAGAATTTTAGGAATGAGGGGATGATGGCCTGTGTAAAGGAATAGAGATGGGAGATAGGAGGAACAGAAGATCGGTTTGACTGGACCAAAGTTGTGTGAAAGACAGTAATGTAGAAGAATCCTGGCAAGGTAGGCTGGTGCCATATTTTGAAGTTAAGTAAACATAGACTGGAATTTGAATGAGTAATACCTATTGGTGAAATTTAGCTTTATGTAAGGCATCTTGAAATGTCAATTTTTTAGATTCTTCTTTTGAGGTTATGCTTACCTGTCTTCTCTTGGAGTGAAATTTGAAAACCAAATACTTATTGCACTCACCAACTATTAATTTACAAGTTTTTCTTCTTTTTTTTTTTAAACTGAGTTAGCCACTTTTAAAATTAATTTGTGAGAAAGACAGTGATTTGGAGTTCTTTCACTTAGTTAATTTCTAATAGAAACTGTTTTCTTTTTTTTTGTCATAAAAATGCATTTCCCAGTTACTGTTCATTGTAATTGGCACATTTTTATTCTCTTTCTTCTCATTCCCCGCCCCCTCCCACCCTCCCGCCTTTGAGGATATATTTAAAAGAAAAAAACCAAATGTTTTCTTACCTCTAGTTCCAACTGTATATTTCTCCTTTCTTTATACTTTCTCTCTTGGTAATCTTATTACCTTTAAGGCTTAATTATTCCCTCTATGTAGAATACTCTAAAGCCAAGCACTAGAGTTTTTGGGGCATAGTAGATATTTAATAAATGGAGAATTGTTGAATTGCTCTCTGTAAAGGATCTGATTGGGATTCAGGCATTGCTGAACTGTACCAGTTTCTTGGGCAATAGCTCCTTCTTGAAAACCAGTCCACGTGATTTTGTCCTTGACCCCTAGGGCTTCCTCCCTCATTAATTTCTAAATATCACTCTTGCTCCAAGACCTTCTTGCCCTTAGGTCTGCAGGGCTTTCTAGGTTTCAAGTTCTGTTGCATTTGTTCCTCAGTTCCTTTCCCCTTTCTTCTATGAACTGGGTATCTGATTTTAGTACCTACTGTCTCTTTTCCACACTAGGTCAGATTTATCTAGGATTTAATCAAAGATATTTATATTGTGTAGGAAAAGAGAGTATCAATTAAAAAATATCTCAATATAACCTAATTAGAGGTTCATATATATAAAAATTGTATGGTGCCTAAATTTGTTAGGTAACATTTAATTGAAGTTTCCTTAGACTTGGTTTGGTCCACATGATCATCTCTGTATTAGGAGCCTATGCCATGATATTTGACTTCCTTTTAGCCCTCAAATAACCATGGCATCATATGTACCTCAGAAAACCCCCTTCCAATTTGGTATTCATCTACCTGGGCATCCTAAACTAAGCTCATTCTACCTGTTTTGCTATCTCAAATTTGTTCAGGAAGCCTTATTGCTGGCAAAATGTTGATGATCCTCCCACATTCCTATGTAATCATTTTGCGAACTAGATACTCTCCCTCCTGTCCAGAAAGGGGAAATAAACATATCTATTACATACCATTAAAGTATTTCCTCATCACCCTGAAAACAATGATTTAACATAATGCCAGGTTCACTAAAGTTTCTTCCTTCACATTCCTAATACTATATCTCTAGCATTTCTGTCTCTCTCATTCTCCAGTCTATTATTTCCAACTAGGGAGACAACATACTCACTTTCCTTTGCTTTGATCAGGTTATATTTGTAGTATTCTGTTATGGGTCTGTTTCACAAAGGAGAACAATCCAGAAGAAGACAGCCAGAATGGTTAAGAGCCTTGAGAACGTGCCTTAGATGATCATTTGGAGAAAATGGGGATTTTAAACCTATAGAATGCATTATTCCTCTTCACTTACTCTAAATCAGGAACGGGGAACCTGTGGCATTGAGACCATATGTGGCCTTCTAGGTCCTCAAGTGCAACCCTTTGACTGAATCCAAACTTCACAGAACAAATCCCCTTAATAAAAGGATTTGTTCTATAAAACTTGGCTCAGAGTCTATACTCTAGCCAAACTGCTTTATTTGCTGTTCTCAAGTCATCACATTATATCATCCTCTGTGCCTGTTTACAGCCTGTCATATTATTCCTAGAATGTTCTCTCTCCTCTCTTCTGCCACTTGGAACCTTAGCTCCCTTTAGGCCCTGCTTAAGTACTATCTCCTTCAAGAGGCCTTTGCTGAATCCTCTATTTCTTAGTGCCCCCTCCCATAACTTTATATTTATTTTGTATGGATAATTGTGTTTACTTATCTGAACTTACTGTATCCCTCCGATAGGATGTCAGTTCCCTGAGAGCAGTGATAATCTTACTTTTTGACTTTATATTCTTGTACCTAGCATCATTCTAGGCACATAGTAGGCACTTATAAATGTTTTTTGTTTGCTTGATTCATGCATCTCTTATTTATATATCTATTAGCCTATTTAATCCCCTCACTAGAATGTAAGCTACTTGAGGGTAGGAATTGTTTCACTTTTGTCTTTTGTATTCCTGTACCTAGCATAATGCCAGGGATATACCAGTCACTTAATAAATGTTTGATTGCTTGATTTGTACTGCCCTCTCCTGTTGTAGACTTTCATCATCTCTTGAACTTTTGCAAACTGGTGTCTCTGCTTGTTAATTCTTCTTCATTCTAAACTTCAATCTAAACCTCTTCTAGGGGATTTTCCTGAATCACATAATTTCTTCTTTAAAACATTGACTGCCACATAAATTCCAAATAATCTGACACTGAAGATTCTTCATAATTTGGCCCAAGTCTATCTTTCTAGCATTGTATTCCAAATATAGCCCTGCCTTTTCGTATCTGTCTAGAAAA